AAGAAGTTATACAGATTAAAAAAGTAATAGACAATAAAAAAATTGACACACTCGGAAAGTGACAATTAAAAAAGAAGTGACAAACTCAAAGAAGTGACGAATTTTTTTTTTTTAAAGTGACAAATTAAAAAAAAAAATAGTGTGAGAAATTTCTACCGAAGAGTTTTATATTTTAACATCGATAAATAATATGAAGGGTCCATTATAATATGAATTGATCCTAGTGGAAAATTGTTGTCATATAATCCCCAAGTCAGAGGATCAGATCTTGGCTTGGCTTGGCTTGTCTTGTCACCAGATTTTACCAGGCTAATCCAGTTTCTGATCAGTCGATTTTCAGCTTGAATTAGACGGTCCAATCTGATTTTAATCACAAATGCAGTGCTAAGAAACAGCTGTTAGAAGTAGAAAACTGATAGATTACATTGAAATGCATTAGAGCAAATGTTTTCCAGACAGAAGAAACAACAAAGTAGATAGAGAAAGCTTGATGCAACAATCCAGATAGAAAATTAAAAGCAGTAAATCACCAATGAGAACATTGGCTTGGTCACTCAGGAGTTTTGCCTAATAGTCCTCGCCTTCTTCATCTTTTCCCTCAGCAGATTCAACCTCGACCCCCTCGTAGTCTTTCTCAAGAGCTGCCAAGTCCTCTCTAGCCTCAGAGAATTCTCCTTCTTCCATGCCCTCACCGACGTACCAGTGTACGAAAGCACACTTGGCATACATCAAATCAAATTTATGATCAATCCTGGAGAACACCTCAGCAATACTAGTTGAGTTAGAAATTATGCAAACGACCCTCTGAACTTTAGACAAAACCACTAATAAGTTAGAAAATTGCTTTTGCAATTCCCAATTGGAAACAATTGATCAGGAAATAAGAGATCCATTAACGATCCTCACCTCCTTCATCGTCACCCCCCCAAATCCCGTCACCGCGGACACAACCGTTGTCCCTTCTCTATCTCCATCCCCAACACCTACTACCACCAGCAAGGCCAAGCCCAAGCACAAACCCAAGCCATTTACTACATCTTTTCTTCTATCCAATGTCTGATGAGACAATCGAGGAAAGCCGAGGTGCTATGCTGAACAAGCATCAAAGCTGGTGGATGTGAGATTTGAGGACTTTTTAATGATAGCAGAGAGTGTGGTGATTTTGGGGTTTAAGGGTATAGAAACTGTGGGTTTGCCTAATGTTTTGCTTGTGGTCTAGGAAAACAGAGACTGGAGAAAACTTATGGATGGAGGCAGAGATGGTGGAGAAACTGGCTTTATCAGTTTGGGGTTTTATAAACGTATTAAATACGATCATGAGATGTTTTAATAATTTTAGGGTATAAATCTAATTAGACATTTTTTTAGAGTAGTGAGCCTAATTTCCCCTTTCATAAATCCTGAATCAAGTTTCATATTGCATAAATCAGGTTTTTATTATTAAATTAAAAGTATTTTATTTTTATATCTATATACAATATAAATTAATTTATATACACCCCATACCCTATTTAACCTAACCAACCTTAAAATCATTTGAACCCATCCCCTCAATCATCTCCTCTCACTTCTCTTCCAAACAGTCGCCGCCGCCGCTTCTTCCCCTCCTCGCATAGTGGAGCTCGTCGTCGGGAGCAGTGAGCAACGCTCCCTCAGATCGTCGGCAGACATTTTGGTGGATTTGCGAAAGCCCAGAGAAAGAGAGTCGATGTGGTATCTCGTGTCGTCCATGTCTCTAGTACCGTTCATTTGTGCGTCAAGTGAATATATTGTTGGAAGTCGCGACAGCGTTGCGGTTGGGTTGTGGTGGTGATGCTTGTGTGGCTATGGTTTGCCTGCCATGGCTCAAATCTGCAGCTTCACGATTTGATGTGATTTTTGGGTGTGTTTTCAGTGGGTGGTGGATGGGGGTTGTGGTGGTGTTTGGGTGGCGGTCGCTGTTGTAGTGACGCTGCAATGTGGTTTGATTATTTAGATCTGTATTTTAGTTTTGAATGTGGTGGATATGGTGGATTTGTGGTAGAGACAGTGGTGCTTATGTTGGTGGTAATGGTGGTTTTGGTGTTGTTGAGGGGTTTTGGGTTGTCTGGCTGCAGCGGTGATGGGTCTGGCTGCGGCGGTGAGGATGGTGGTGGTAGGGTCTCTAAGGTTGATTTGTGTCCAAATATTGGCAGAGGATCGGGACGGGGGTGGGGTGTTTGGTGTATGTGACCGACATTTTGGTTCATCGTGACTCGTTATTAACCTGTGACCTCAAACCATTGTGGTGCGTTCTGTGGTGTTGGTGTTGGCGGAGGAGACGACAGTGGTGTTGTGTTTGTGGTGATCACAAATGATTTGTTGATTGTGACCGATAAATTGGTTGGTGTGTGACCAATAAGTACTGCGTAACCTACAAATTTATTAATTTCTGATCTTAAAATTTTTGAATTGTGACGAAAGTGCAAAGATATGTGACCTTTATATATTTATTAATAAAATATATAATTAATTAATTAATTCATAAATAAATTTTAATGAAAACTTGATTTTTGAAATGTAAAACCTATTTACTTAATTTTGAAATGGTGATATCTAAAAATCTGATTTATGTATTGTTGCCTATTTTTTTCCTAAAGAAAATGAGGTATACGGCTTCATGGGCTTTGACGCTAGGCCTAGACAACCCAACCAGACAGCCTAAGTCAAAATCCTAAGTATTACTGTTCAAACACCAAACTGATGAACCTAACAGATCTTATCAATCTCTCTCTATTTTACCTTTCTTCTCTCCAAAAAGGAAAAAGAAACGCACGCACGCACGCACGCACGCACCTTCTCTCGCGCCTCACCCATTTAAGGGCACCCCCTCCTTCCTTCGTTTTCACTCATTAATTCATATATGCGTGTAAAACAATCAGACTTCTCAGTTTGAACCCAAAAGAACAAGAAAATTAAGAAGAAAAAGGTCTGCGATTTCTGGAATTTTTTGTTGTTAAGAAGTTATCTTTATCTGAGTGCATTAGATTAATAGCTCCTTATTTAGTTCAATTCTCATTTTGACTTAAAGATGTGTTAATAATTAAGCCCTTGTTTTGTGGCCTTTTTTTTTGGAAAAACATCGTTTTGATCAGTGAGTTTTTGGAGAATATGTGGTTATAAAGTAGGGAAAAATTTTAGGATTACTTGTAGAAATATTTTATCATATGAATGTCTGGTTGAAAGTGAATAATGACGGGAGACAAACAGGGGCTAAGAAAAATTAGCTGGTTGTTTTTCGTCTTCGAAGAATTAATACATTTGTAATGGAAATTGGATTCTATTTCATTTTGGGATATATGGGGGGTTTTATGTTTGTGTTTCTTCTTCTTTTATTAGTTAATTAATGAAAGTATATTTGCAAATTTAATCAAAGAGATTAATTTATTTTTTTGTCCATTGATTTTGAGTTGGCAGCATTTTTTCATGGTGATCAGGATTGATATTCGCTAGCTATAAGGGCCTAAACTGATTGCAATGTTATGAATGACAGTTTTTGTCTGTTCTTTCTCAAGTTATCGAGTCATGCACTGCATTTTGTTTTATACCTGGTTTTGAACCTTCTTTGATTAGTAATTGATTTACTAGTAATATGAACTTTTTGATCGGAAAAAATTGGCTTGAAATATTGTTTCATACACTACGAAATTGGGTGAAATAAAAGAATTGAGCTGCAGATTTGATTATCAGAGAGAAAAGAAAGAAGCACTTGGAATTCTACATTCAAAGTCAAGGAAATGTTCAATATGCTAGTTGAGTTAACTTTGCTCTCACTACAGGTGTCTATCTTTTAGGTAGTCAGTCCAATGTATGCTAGGAGAATAAAGTGTAAAGATCAGAGGTGGGGCAATGTGGTTCAGCATGGCAAAGTTTTGATTAGTTCTTACTGTCGAGATCACTGCGCTGCACTATGTTCAACCCATGCACCAATAGCCCGGAATTATAGTTCTCAAGGTAGTTTGATAGGAAGATATTTGTCAAATTCTTTCTCATCATCACGTGAGAGGTACTTCACAAGATTGCATGGAAGGCCGGATATTAGTTGGAGTAGTTGTCGACCAAGGCTTTTTAGTTCTGAAGGTGATGGAAGGAATGCGAGTGAGGATAAAAACACACCTGCCAAAGATCTGACAGATTGTGATAAGGGAAAGATTCCTAAGGAAAATATTACAGGGAGTATTAGGCATTATGATGCACTCACTCGACTAGGGGAGCAAGATCAAAAGGAGTGGCTGAAAAATGAAAAGCATGCCATAGAGAATAAAAAGAAGGAATCCCCTTTTCTAACTAGAAGAGAAAGGTTTAAAAAAGAGTTTCTGCGTAGGGTTGTCCCATGGGAGAAATTAACGGTCTCATGGTCTACATTTCCTTATCATATTAAGTAAGTGCTATTGCTGATTTGTTTCCATATTTTTTACGCGATTTAGTTACTTGTTGGGACTCAAAGACATTAATCTCACAGTGAACATGCAAAAAACCTTCTGGTGGAATGTGCTGCCTCGCATTTGAAACACAAGAAATTTACTGCAGCTTACGGTGGCCGCTTGACTTCTTCGAGCGGGAGGATTCTGCTTCAGAGCATTCCGGGTCAACTTTGGACTACCCTTTCCAAATTTTCCTGTTACCACATATCCGAATATTCTGTTTCCATATCAGTTTTCATTTGATTCTGCTGATTATGAAGGCATTTTTGGTTTATAGGTACCGAGCTTTATCGAGAGAGATTGGTCAGAGCACTCGCCCGGGACTTGCAAGTTCCATTATTGATGCTTGATAGCAGTGTATTAGCTCCATATGTAATCTTTGACTCTTCTTTTCCTCTATGGCTCAGTAGTTGAAAGTAACAACCTCTGCCTAATACCCAAAAAAACGAGATATTAAAACTCTTGTCTTCTTAAAAACATTAAAACTGCTTCCAGATAGTTTTGGTCTAAAATCTATAATAGGGTAATAGGCAAGCATCCCAATTCCGCGTATATCCTGCCCCCTCAAGTCTAATTTCTTAGTATGCCACTGTTTTATGATCCATCAGTTTTATTCAAACATGAATAAATATAGAAAAAATGAATTTTCTTCTGCAAATATTTGTCAAAATTCTAATTATTCGCATTTGTGGATGATTTTTCAGGCCTTAAGTGAAGATTATTCATCTGAAAGTGAATCAGACGAGGACAATTCGGAATCTGATGAAGATTGTACATCAGAATCTGAGGTTGAGGATGAAAATAATGAGAGTAATGAGGAAGATGCCAGTGATGATGAAATTGACGTCCAGGCTTCAGCAGAAGCCTTGAAAAAGCTAGGCCCATACAACCTTGAAGACTTTGAGAAGGTAAGATTGTTGTGAATTTCTATCATTTTCAAGATACATAGTGCCTGTTTGAGCCGGTCAAAAGGCATTTTGGAATATTATTTTGTTGGAGAATGTGTGGTTAAAAAATAAGGAAAAAATTTGGGTTTGATTGTAAAATTACTTTATAGGAGAATGTGTGGTTGAAAATAAGTTTTGAAAAAATGAGTTTGAGAAAAAAATGAGGGCTAACCATAGGCATAATTTAGAATGACAATCCTAGTATGTTAGGAGAATGGAAGAGCCAAACAAGGATTGTAAAACATTATCCATGCTTCAGCTAGACTGCAACCCTTCAATCGCGCGTTCATTTTTAATAAGCACAATATGCCATCTCTGTTGACCCTAAATAAGGCATGAAATAGAATTCATTTATCCTCTAGTGTTAGTTGCAGCTCTTTATGCGATTGAGTTTTCTCCAATGAATCCTTTTGCGTGGCATGGAAAGTTCTATAATAAGATGGAATTGACCCGTATCATGACTAATTATATTAAATATCTTTTCTTCCTTATGACAGATAGTCTCAGGAGAATCTGATAGTTCATTGGAATCTTCAAAGTCGGAGACTGTGGAGCCTTCTGATAAAGCTAACAGACCACTAAAGATTGGTATGCATTTCATGTACTGTTCTTGAATGTAATCTTGCATTCACATTTTGGCTTTCTGAAACTCTGCAAATAAATGGAAACATATCTGGCGGGCTATTATTTTCCTTCTAATTTGCTTTGTGATGAGAGAAAAGGTGCTTCCACTTTTCCTGCCCTCATTTTTCGTACAAAGTAAAAAAATCTTGAAACATATTTGGCAGGCTATTATTTTCCTTCTAATTTGCTTAAATTTGAAATGAGAGAAATGGTGCTTGCATTTTTCCTGCCCTCATTTTTCTTACGAAGTAAAAAATTTCACACATGATCTGAATATATTAATTTTAATTCTCCCTCTAAGGGAGATAAACTTACTCTCTCTCTCTCAAACTAGAATGCTTTCTCCATCCATTGCTTGTCCATCAGGTTATAGTAATCCCATTGTCCCACCATCTCAATCATGTTTTGAAAAACAAAAATTCATATTTCCAAGAACAAAACATGAACTTCATGCAAACTGATGGGATGGAGATAGAGACGTAACTTAAATAGGATTTTAAAATTGAGTTCAATTCAATTATGTTTATTTAGATTAGATTAGATTAATTTTAATAATTCGATAAAATTCTAGTTTATTAGATATAATTTGATTTTAGCTTATTTGCTGTATATAAAGAGGGCTTATTCATTGTAATCGGTACCCTTGAATAAATGAAATAAATTAATTTTCTCTTGCCCTAAATTCTTCTACTTCATGAAACCCCGTTTTCATTCTTGTTCCTTTTTTCTTCAATTG